GTTTACATAAACACTTTTATTTTTTTTATTACACATTTTTTTTAAATGCCCTTTTTTACCGCACTTTTGGCACTTGTAGTTTTTATAACGGCACTTATCTTCGCTGTGGTTTTTTAAACCACACACTAAACAATGTAAATCGCGTAAATACTTATGTTGATCGCGGCCCGCTTGTGATGCACACGCCATTCGTGAATTCATCCCGCCGCCATATTTACTGCCGCCACTGTTTTCGCCGCCATTTTTTCTACCTGTTGAGCTGTGCGATAGTTTATACATGGCTTCTTCTTTTACAGCCACCGAGTCTGATACTAGGAACTTCGCATCTCTAGCACATTCTGCCTTTTCCGCTATTTCTATAGCACGAGCTAATCAACTCGGAAACATTTTGTTCAAACAACTTGTCACGCTCGGGGCCAGACCCCAGGCCTAGGACGAATCCGTAAGGTTTGTGTCCAGGGCAACACCGAAGTCGCAGTAACTTGCTAATCCTCTTAGTCGTGCTGCCCAGTCCCCCAGCGACTCGCCGCAATTTCTTGTGGCGCCGTAAAATTTTGCTCTGTCAGCAAATGAACATTGTTTCGGTTTAAAATGGCTGTCGAGTAACACCACCAGTTGTACAAAACTCAGTTCCTATACGATGATAAATGCGTAATCAGTATTGCAGATTTATTGTCCTCCTTTACATTATTCACTTTTAAAAACTGAGTCAATCTACCTTTAAAAATAGACCACTCACAGTTTTTATAGTCAAAGATAGGTAAATTTCCTATAAAAGACATTTTTAATTTTTATTGCAGGTAAGATCGTCCTCGTCGCCACTGATATGTATAAGGTGACACGGTAGTAATAGAAACAACTGTTATGCACAAGTACTGGTTTATTACTAACTGTGTTTGAGTTACAGGCTCTCTAACATTATTAGGAGGTAGTCATAATAGTAGTGGTAGGTAGGTAGCTACACATCATAAAACCTATTACTTCTATACTTAATATAATTTCAACACAATCAATATTGTTATGAAATAAATAATTTTGTTGTTTCACGGCAGAAAAGTTAATTACGATAACACTTCACTCACACCGCACAAATACCACTGCGAGCAAAATTATTTTATAATACAAAATTAGATTTTTTTTTTAATTACGGATTTTTGTACATTCTAAACAGTCAGTCATACATGCCAGTCCCATTGTGCCCAAAAACTAATTACTCCATTACATCACCAGTGAACAGATTGCCTTAGCCGCACTATCTAAAAAAAAAGATATTCGATCGTATTTTGACGACTAGCTGACCCACGCGACTCCGTCTGCATCACGCTTATCATTATATATCGCATAAAATTCAAAATTCAAAATATCTTTATTCATGTAGGTCTATTATTTAATAGATATAGTGATTCAGGAGGAAGGTTTATATATATGACGACCTCGGTGGTCTAGCGGTCAAGCACACCGCTTTACGACCGATGGTCGCGGGTTCGATTCCTCGCACGGCACAAACATTTGTATTCATGAGTATGATTGTTTGTATTGGTCTGGGTGTTTTCTATGTATAATATGTATGTATTTACTAAAAAAATATATGTATCAGTTATCTAGTATCCATAACACAAGCTTTAGCTAGCTTAACTTGGGACTAGATGGCGCTGTGTGAATTGTCCTGAGATTATTATTATTATTATTACTATTATTATATAATACATGTACAGCCGTGCGAAGCCGGGGAGAATAGCTAGTATTTTATAAATCATAAATTGTATAACACTTCTTTAATAAAAAAATCATTTAATTAGTGTTTAAATTAGTCTTTACATAATAAACTTTTTAAATATATAGGTAACTTATTATATAATTGTATGGACTGGTAATGCGAACTATGCTTCACCACCTCCAGGGTAGGTGACAGTCAGCGGACTCACAAAATGTGTCCCTGTTCAAAATTCAAATTCAAAATATCTTTATTCATGTAAGTCTATTACAGACTCTTATGATATGTCAAATATGCAATCAGTTCGGAATGATATCGAGATGAGAAGAAATGACAAGAAACTCAGCTCGTATTTTTTTAAAATGTACATATTTACAATAATACAGATTCATTTAAATTCGAATTTGAGAGAATAGAGTGACCTCCAGCATATGCTATTGAAAAAAAATTCAAAAAGTCTAATCAGTGTTTGCAACCTGAACAGACCAGTCCCCACATGCAGCACCCGTTCACGAGTATGACGGATGAGCCAGCCATCATTGCACTCAACCATATTAGAGGGAGCACATCGACCCGGCCCACCACGCCGCCACAAGTTTGAACTTTATAGCGAGCATGACTGTTTCAAGTTACTCCACTACGTCATTTATATTATTTACAGCATAAACTGTACCAATCACAGTTTTCACCCATTACAATATTTAATTTACATTATTTAAATTACAATTATGTCATTACTAAATTTACAATAAGTTTCTTTAGTTTTTATTACATTATCTTTGTCAATGGGACAATTATATACCTCATAACAAAAGTTAAAATTGTAATTAAGTCCACACATTGTAGTCATTGAATTTAAATAATATCTATTTAAATTACAGCCTATGTTTATTCTGATGTGTGAACTATGTTACTTTAAACTTTCATCAAAATCCGTTCAGTAGTTTTTGGGTCAAAAAGTTTACTCTAAACCTTTTGGCCGCAGCTGGCCTTTACAGCTTCACCGGACGATAAGCGGCGAGTGCAGATGGCACTCCAAACTCGCGGAAGGACTTATAGAGCGGCTGATGGCCAACTCCCGCCTGAAGGATACGCCTTTAGTGTGAGAGCACCACTAGGGGTTCGAACCTCGGCTCAGGCCGTCGTAATATCGATCCCCGTTTGAATTGTACAGGGGATCGATCGGATAGGCCCGTTAAAGAGTAACAAACATCCATACACACAAAGTTTATTAGTAAGATTTTATCAACAAATTCTATTGTATTGGTATATCTACCAATGTAATTAAGTACATTTGCTGTAAAGATATGACGACAGAATGGTACTGATCATCCTGTCATGATGACGATAATTATAGATAAATGTACAGATGATATTAGCATCATAATGGTGATATAAAACAGCCTCGCTGGTCGAGTTTTTTGCACACCGCCGTACTTACCGATTACACAACGGACTGTGTTCTGAGGAATTGGTCGACATGATGCTTACGGCCACCTTTCACCATCGCACCTCTCGCCATCGACAGGGAATTCATTCCCACACGCCGGAACCTAAGTGGTCTCGGACAGTGCGGTTTCAGAGGAGCTTCCTCCAGCGTACACTTAGATTGTGGAATGAACTACCTGCCGAGGTTTTCTCACGAGACTACAGCATGGGGTTTTTCAAGAAGGGTATATTAAAGTTTCTTAAGGGTCAGCAAAGCGCACGTGACACCCCTGGTGCTTCGGGCGTCCAGAGGCTACGGTAACCATTTACCATCAGATGGACCGTATGCTTGTTTGCCACCATAGTAGTATAAAAAAAAATATTTATTTCCCCCCCATAGCTAGGTGTTGCAATGACATACGTAAGATCGCGGGAATATAATAACTGGAAGAGAAGAGCTCGCACTAACCGTTTTGCATCATCTTTCCTTATGCGAGCAGCTAAGGAGTAGAACTCTCTACCAGCAACTATTTTTCCTGCCTCTTACAACATTGCGTCTTTCAAGTCAAGAGTGAATTGGCATTATTTGAGCTTGCGTGTAACAGCTTAGACCACATCATCACTTAACATCAGGTGAGATTGCGGTCAAACGCGCTGAAATCTTGATATAAAAAAAAAACGTGCTCAGTGGTGTGACTTGGGAGAGGCCTGTGTAAAAGCAGTGAACTGCAATGAGCTGATGAAAATGATGATGATGATGACAAACTGTGTACTCATGAGGTAAAATACAAATTCAAATTCACAAATCATTTATTCATGTAGGACATTTTATCCGCTTATGAACGTCAAATTTTTACATTCTACATAATTTTAATTTTTTCCCTACCGTCCAGTTCGGTATATTTGTTTGTATTATGTCTAGGTGTTTTATATGTATGTATTTATAAACAAATGGATTTCTACCAGTCATCTAGTACTCATAATATAAGCTTTATTTACTTGAAACTACATGATGCTGTCAACTGTCCTAAAATCTGAATTGACAAATTCAAAATTCAAAAATCATTTATTCATGTATGACATTTTAGCCGCTTATGAACGTAAAGTTTTTTTACATTAGGTATATTTTTTTCCCTACCGTCCAGTTCAGTATATAGATCCAATTGAGAAGAACTGGCATGAAACTCAATTGAATTACTTTTTTTTAAAAGGCAGTATATTTATGGTACAATGTATATTTATATAGATGTCTAATTGTCTATGTCTAACATTAAATGAAAATCCCGTACATGAACAACTACTGCCATGCACGCTCGTCATTCAAGTAATCGTTAGTGAGTAAAAGGCTTTGCTCAGTAAATATGATTTGAATTTATTTAAGGGTAATTCCAGTATATCCTTTGGTATCCTATTGCACATTTTTATACCTATTCCCATAAAAGACCTATTGACCTTTTCTAAACGATACTTGAGGACAACAAGTGTGTCTTTAAATCTAGTATTAATATTATGATTATTGCCTTTTTTTGGAAATAAGTACTACTTTTTAATGCGAAAGGTTTGTAAGAGGTCAATGCCGGAGTAAAGTGGTTCGCAACAGGACCCCAACCGTCACATCCCTAAGGGTTGATGAATAGTCAGTCAGTCTGTCACCTTTCACTTCAATTACAGAAATGTTTTTTAATCTGATTATACTACTATACAATGAAACTAGTATAGCTAATAATGCAATCTCGATTGATAAACTTAATCTGCGATGCGTACATTCCACTGAACATATAGACAGTACAATCTATTTTATAAATACTTGTGCTATTTCACAGTCTCGCATTCGTCTGTGGTCGTTCGAAATAAAAACATCCAAAATGACTGTCGGGACTCAAGAATCGAGTGGAAGTTACAAGTTGAAAATTTTTAATCTCACTGGTAACCTTGTAACTCACACACTCATCGGTGCAACGGTTGGAGTGAGCCTTTTATTTGCATTTAGAAATGGATTGCCGTTAAATCAAATAAATCTACACATCGTACTATGCGTTCTTGGGGTGAGTATTTATTATTTGTTTATTATATAATGAATTAATAACATATAGACTTAGTTTAGCAATTTCATAGATGACTCTTTCCATATTTTAGTCTGACAGTTTGTTAGGACGAAATCCAAGTCTGCATAGCTCCTACAGTACCTCTGCCAAAAATTCTTTTATATATATATATATATAATATAATATAGCCTTTGCAGTCAATAAATATTTGAGCGTATTTTTAAATAAATTATTTTCTTCTTTCATGTTTTCCGAGATTTTATTATAAATTGGGGTGGATCGGTAGTAGGTACCTGCCCTAAACATTTCTATTTTGAGTTTTGCGAGTGAAAGATTTTTTTTTGTCTTTTATTACTTTTAAAATTAAAATATGATAAATTCTTACGAACGAATATAGCTATCTCCAATGTATAAATCGATGGCAACTTCAATATTATTAACTAATCCGCGGGAATTCAAATCTACTATGTAAATCTCCCAATTTACATAGTATCTCTTTAAATTATAGCCTATATGTTATTCTGGTGTATAAGCTATGTTATTGTAAAGTTTCATCAAAATCCGTTTAGTAGTTTTTGCGTGAAAGAGTAACAAACATCCATCTATATTCACAAACTTTCTCATTTATAATATAAGTAAATATTTTATTTTTGTTCGTATTAGTATTCTACAATTCAAAATTTAAATTGATGATTCTTTTTTAAAAGACAAAGTTCATAATTGTTTTGCCACGTTAAAGTATATTAAATAAGTTGTATTTTTGTTCAGTTAGTTGTAGTTTGATATTTAATGTTTGATTTTGAACTTTGCCTTTTGACTCTCGTGTCACAGTGTTTGTAACAAAACTTCTCCGAAACTCCTGAATCGAAAATAGGATATAGACCACGTTTTCACGTCCCTAAGTGATAAAGGTGATCCAAACCGATATTTTTTTTTTGGATACACTCATTTATTTTATTTTTTTATAATTCAACATTAAAAATACATAGAACCCAAATTTTTCACCCTTCTACCATCAACCCCCAGAGCTCAGAGTTCAGAGTCAGCATTATTTAATTAAATATATAGTAGTTTAGTCATATTTTTTTTTATATGTCACCTCAGAACTTTTTGTACAACAAAATTTTTGTAAAACAAAATATCTTTATTCATATAGGTCTATTACAGACTCTTATGATATGTCAAATCTACCGTCAGTTCGGAATGATTTCGATATGAGAAGAACTGACAAGTAACTCAACTATTATTTTTTTCCAACAATAAAGAATAATTTTTAAATTCTAATTAGGGAGTATAGAAAGATGGTGTTTATCCCATATAAAACGACTTACTTCTTTGTATTAAAAATAGAAATAATCTTTATTCAAATAAACCTAATATAAGCACTTTTTAATAGTCACATTTTTTTATTCTACCACTCATCTATACATATAAATAAAATTGGAGTGTCTGTTTGTAATATTGCAATAACCGTTTTTTACTACGTGCAAATGAATATATATACGGTACATATACCAAAATAACATTTTTTATAATTTTTGTCTGTCTGTCTGTCGGTCTGTTTGTTCCGGCTAATCTCTGAAATGGGTGGATCGATTTTGACGGGACTTTTTTCGGCAGGTAGCCGATGTAATAAGGAGTAACTTAGGCTACTTTTATTTTAGAAAAATAAAGTTAAATTCCACGCGGGCGAAGTCGCGGAAACGGCTAGTATAAAATAAAATTAAAATTTGTTTGTTTATAACTTATAAATGTGAACTTTCAGTATCAATTGCTGATGGCCCAAGGCTTCCTGGCCCTGGTACCTGAGAACTCTTGGTCCTCCACTCTGCGACTGGTAGATAGAAGGCGAGCACACTGGGTCATGCAGCTCATGGGTTCTGGGCTGGCCATTGCTGGCAGCATCATCGCCATTCAAACCAAAACTGTACATTGGAATACAGAACATGGTCAATATGGTGAGTATTGTCTTCGGAATAGTTAAGAATTAAAATTAAAATCATAATTTCTTTATTTTCTTAAATATAATCGTTATATTAATGCGTGAAGCAAAAACTTTGTACCCCTTTTTATGAAATTTGCGTGCACGGACAAGTATCGCCTTTATGCTACTTACTATACATATATATACATACAATTATCATTATATTCCTCCAAAATTACATGTTTTTTTTTTAATTATAGACTATGTGTTAGTCTGATTTATAAGCTATATTACTGTAAAGTCTCATCAAAATCCGGTTATTAGTTTTTTCGTGAAATATTATCTAACACAAATCGATCTATCCATACTCACCAATTTTCACGTTTATAACATTATGATGTAATATACACTATAATAATATAGTAAGATATAAAAGGAGTATGATATTTGTTTTATTTATTTATTTACGTCACACTTAGTGAGCTTTACAGTTTCCCAATATACTCACTTAGGAAGATTGTATACAAATACAAACAATTATAAACACTAATTACTAATACACACACACTAATTACAAAAGGAAACAAAAGAATAATAATACCTAATCTTAATGTAACATACTACCTAAATAATCTACTGCTATCCTACAAAACTCCAGCAAATTACAAGTAAATATGTCTAGATCTGGAAAGCGACTAACTACACCATTGAGTAGACTCAATGCCAGAGAAATAGGAGCCTGTTTGGCCAGCTCTGTTCTTCTCCATGGAACACCAAACAAGTTTAGTCTTCTTGCTTGTACGTAATTATAGTTTTAAAATTATGCATAAAAATATATTGAACTAGCTGTTCCCGCGACTACGTCCGCGTGGAATTTGAATTTATTTTTCTAAAATAAAAGTAGCCTAAAGAACTAAAAATTATTTTGTTCGTCTTAATTTATTCGTTCCATTAGGTACTGATAGGTTCAAACTAATACATTTACATCCTGCATCATCCCTTATTTTATCCCCATGGGGGTTGAATTTATCAAAATCCTATTTAAGCGAACGTCTTCATCATAGTAGCTCCAAACTTTAATTTCAGTTCAATCAATGAAAATCTAAGATTTATAGAAACTTTCATCCCCTATTTTATCCCCTTAGTGATGGAATTTATCAAAATACTTTCTTAAGAGATGCCTACGTCATATTAGCTTTATGCATGCAAAGTCTCAGCCCGATCGGTTTAAAATTGACAAAGTTTCAAACAAACTTTCATCCCCTATTTTGTCCTCTTGGGGGTAGAATTAATCAAAATCCTTTCTTAGCGGATGCCTACGTCATAACATCTACTTGCATGCCAAATATCAGCCCGATCCGTCCAGTGGTTTGGGCTGTGCGTTGATAGATCACTATGTCAGTCATCTTTGAGTTATATATATTTAGATTGATAAAAAATATCACACATACCATTATGTATTTAACACACACACACATAGAAGTATTGGTCTTTGAAAATAGTAATTATTAAAACTTATAATTAAAAAAAACATCTATTAAAAAGAGCAACACACAAGTTTCTTGCTCATTCTTCTTGTGATGAATCTGCATTCTGAATGAGTGGTAGAATCAAAATATGACTATTCAAAAGTGCTTGTAATGAGTTTATTTTAATAAAGATTATTTCTATTTCTATTTCCATTTCTATAACAGTAGCTGAATGACGCAAAAATAAAAGTTTATAATTTATTGTTATATAAAAAAACTTTGATACAAAATCGCAGAAACAGGGAGTTTTAAATATGATTTATACATTATATTTTTTTATAAATATAATTTTTATACATAATGTGTCTATGTTTAACATAAAATAAATATGATATATATACATATCTTAATTATACAATAAAGAATTTTTACATATTATATATATTTTAAGACATATGTTACATATTAATGTGGATGGTTATAAGGGCAGAGGAAGGCCGAAAAAGAGATGGATGGACTGTGTGAAAGATGATATGGTAAGAAAGGAAGTAAATAACGAGATGACTGCGAACAGGGATGAATGGAAGCGAAAAACATATTACGACGACCACAAGTAAATGTGATAAGGTAGAAGCAGATGATAATATATATTTATTTACAGTATTACAGTATTTAGACACTTCTTTTAAAACCTGAAGCAGTAATATATATGTAATATCACTAAGATATTATTTAAGCCTATTTAGCGGCATCTTTCTAATTACTTCCAGTATTTTTATAAAAAACGTACATAAAACTAATAAATAATACAATTTTGTACATTGGTACTATGACAAAATAAAAAAAATATTCATTATATGTAGATATGTAATTAATACATACAATAATTATTAAATATTTGTATGGAAATTACGTAATAATAATAATCTCAGGACAATTCACACAGCGCTATCTAGACCCAAGTTAAGTTAGCTAAAGCTTGTGTTATGGATACTAGACAACTGATACAAATACATACATATTATACATAGAAAACACCCACACCAATACAAACAATCATACTCATGAATACAAATGTTAGTGCCGTGCGAGGAATCGAACCCGCGACCATCGGTCGTAAAGCGGTGTGCTAGACCGCTAGACCACCGAGGTCGTCAAACATAAAAGTTAGTTTTATGTAAGTTGGCACTACATGTTGATATTTAGTTATCGCCGTTGCTCGCGTCACTTTCCGAAGGTCGCGGGTTCGATCCGCAATAAATTTTCATACTTTTCATAAATCACTTGTTAATCGTTATCAATGAAAATGATGGTAATAATGACACTTCACATGTACACAGATAAAGCAATTCCACAGCTTATCACTCTCTCATCTGCACGCCTCGCGCTACGTTCACGATAACCTATCTACGGATAACAATTATAATCCCAAATCGATAAATTTAACTAGTTTTTTTTAGAATAGAACTCTGAATAATAATACCCAAACACAATCCCGTATATATCCGATGGAGATAAATTAAAAACAGCAGCGCTCACAACGCTGTGAGTTGCTCAATAAGCTTAAGCGCTGTGAGTTGCTCAACCAGCTTATTAAGCTTGTTGAGCAACTCGCAGCGCTGTTTAGTTTAAACTGTAAAAAAACAAGTTTTGGTTTTTCTTTTTATTTACTAGGCAACTACAATAGAATAGAAAATCATTTATTCAAATAAACTTAATTTAAACACTTTTGAATAGTCATAACAATTTTTTTTTATCTACCGAACGGATAGGAACGGTTATTTCAATAAAAAAAATATTATGAAACAACTGACATTTAATTTTCAATGGAACTGTCTTAAGTGGGCTGTGTTTTACGACAGTAGGAATTGAACCAGAGATTGATAATTTGTAAAGCACTCACCTTGTACTGCGAGGATTGCCAGTTCGGTTTCAGCAAGGCTCCCCAAAACTTGTCCGAACTTACCTTTTAAACAGATTACCTGTTTACCACCAAAACCGACAATAGGTGTTCTCGAGTATCAACTCTTACGTTCCTTTATTGTTTCGTAAATAAACTAATAATATTCACGACTTTACTAAACAAATTTGTATAAAATATCAACAATTACGACAACGATAATCAGAACACTTTTTCGAAAAAACTCCCACCCTTGTAACCTTTTTTTTTAAAATATTTTCTACGGCATTGGATACCGGGATAATTTTGCCGAGCGTAATATTGTGAATAGTGAATAATGTACCTGACAATAGTTGTTCATACACGGGATTTTCAAATATATGTACCTATATATGTAAACAAACTGGATTTTAAAAAAACAGAAACTCTCACAATACTTTTTGTTTATATGTACATATGTAGTCAGTTGAGTTTCTTATAAGTTCTTCTTAATTGAATGATTTTGATTTTAATACATATTAGTACCCTTTGTGTCTGTGTATTGCAAGTCATAACAAACGTAAAACAATCATTCATAATGTATATCTGACAAGCTACAAAGCAATGGATACGTAGACAGTAATTTATAATGTGATTATTAATAGTAATCTATATAATTAGAACAGATCAGATATTGCTGTAATTAAGCGATAAACGTATACTGCAATTAATTTCGAGGGTTCCGTAATAATCAATACATAGTATAAAAAAACAAAGTCGCGGTCGCTGTCTGTCCTTCTCTGCTTCAATCTTTAAAACTACGCAACGGATTTTGAAGCGGTTTTTTAATAGATAGAGTGATTCAAGAGGAAGGTTTATATGTATAATACATGAAGCTCGGGCGAAGCCGGGGCGAGTAGCTAGTAAACTAATATAAACTAGTCGTGACCGCAGTTTTACCCGGATGAATAAAATAGAATAGAATAGAAAATCATTTGTTCAAATTAACTTACATTGAAGCACTTTTGAATAGTCATCACATTTTTTTTCAATCTACCGCTCTTTCTGTCTCATCACAAGAAGAACGAGCAAGAAACTTGCGTGTAGCTCTTTTAAATAATTTTATTGTTACTTTACATTTTTAAGTTGAAGTGTGTGAATACAAATTACCGACTAGCACTAATTCAATAAATTAAATTTATAGCCTATATGTTATTCTGATATATAAACTATATGACTGTAAAGTACTATCAAAATCCGTTCAGTAGTTTTTATGTGAAAGAGCTACAAATATCCATCCATCCAACTATCCAGCCATACTTACAAACTTTCACGTTTATTATATTAATAGTATAAGATTTCAGCGACGACCCATACAACTCTATTTACATTCTTTTTATTTTAAAATTGTAATTTTACAACACCTTTTTGTATGTCATATTTTTTTATATCGAATTCATTTATTCACTAGCTGTTCCCACGACTTCGTCCGCAAGGAATTTAACTTTATTTTGTATAATAAAAGTAGCCTAAGTTAATCCTTATTACATCAGCTACCTGCCAAAAAATGTCCCGTCAAAATAGGTCCAGCCATTTCAGACATTAGCCGGAACAAGACAGAGAAAAATTGTAAAAAATGTTATTTTGGTGTTTGTACCGTATTTATATTCATATACACTCCAATTTTATTTATATGTATAGATTATTTACTGCGCCGACCACAAATAGTGGAATAAAGGCAAGGCAGTGATAATACTAGTTCTTACCCGTAACTATATCTACAATTTCGTATTTATAATATTAGAATATTAATAGACTGATCTTTCTTTGTCCAACTCATGCTCCCAGTTTATCTGGGGTCGGGTCTGCCTGTACATGCGCTAGAGAACTCTGTTTGGGGTATAGTAAGGTTGTCCTGGTCCATCTACTTTTTAATATTGTTCCACCAAGTGGCGCTAGAATATTAGCAGCCTGATATGTTATTAAAAAATACACGATTTTTGTAAGGGTTCTTTCCCAATAAAATTTCTTAAGTAACTTCTCACGGAATCCTAATTTCTTTATCTTTACTAACATCCGATTTTTATCTAAAGCGTATTAAAGTAATTATAAACGCGTGTCACATTGTATGGTCTTTGTATGGATTTGAGTCATACAATGTATAAACATTTATAAATAAAATTAGAAACTGAACCTGCGACCTCGTTCTATAGTATTTGAAATAACAATAGCTTGTAACTATTTTATTTAATGAACAAAAATGAACTTTAATGAAGATAATAATATTATCTTCATTAAAGTTCATTTTTGTTCATTTTATTTTATATTATAGTTCATTATATTTTCTATATTATAGAGGTTAAATAATATATGGCTGACTTAACACTGTGTAGCATTTTCTACCAGGCAACCATGAGTGGTGCAGAGTAAAGTTGTTGGCGTTTAATTTTTTTATAAAACACTTGTACATATATACCTAGTATTTGAAATAACAATAGGTTCTAATTTTTGTATTTAATGAAGAAAAATGAACTTTAATAAAGATATTATAGAGGTTAAATTATATATGGCTGACTTAACACCTTGTGGCATTTTCTACCAGATAACCATGAGTGGTGCAGAGTAAAGTTGTTGGCGTTTAATTTTTTTATAAAACATAGATACATATATACCTAGTATTTGAAATAACAATAGGTTCCAATTTTTGTATTTAATGAAGAAAAATGAACTTTAATAAAGATAATATAGAGATTAAATTATATATGGCTGACTTAACACCTTGTGGCATTTTCTGCCAGGCAACCATAAGTGGTGCAGAGTAAAGTTGTTGGCGTTTAATTTTTATTGTAAAACATACATATATACCTAGTATTTGAAATAACAATAGCTTGTAACCATTTCATTTAATGAACAAAAATGAACTTTAATGAAGATAATATAGAGATTAAATTATATATGGCTGACTTAACACCTTGTGGCAGTAAACAGGCGTTTATTTTTTTTTATAACAGACCCATATATATGTCTACAAATATAAATATTTACATACCTAATAGCTTTTTGTTGAAAATCAATTGCAATTTCAGATTAACTCTCCAATGATGAAAACACCAATTACAAACCAAATTAATCCGGTAACTTCGTTGCCACGTTGGGTTCCGGTTCCGGGCCTTGAAGTGCCCACATTTCGCTAGGAATATTTGAATCCAAAATGGCAGACCTACCGGCATCTTTCGGATATTTTTTTTTGTTTTGTTATGGGTGTATCATACTCCGGATAAACAATCAAAGATTTTTTGTTTTGACGGCTAGATTTGAACCTACGACCCATAAAACCGCTAACCCACGAATAAAATAAATACATAAAAAAAAAATTCTGACTACTCCAATGCTGTTGGCTACAGCTGGCCTTATAGCTTCATCATACGATAGGAGGCGAGTGCAGATGACACTGCTAACCCGCACACTTATGGACCGGTTGAAGGTCGCCCCCACCTGACGGATACGACTTTAATTGTCACCTTACCTCGAACCTCGTTTCAGCCCATCGTAATTTCTCGGTCATTAGAATGTTATGTATTTATATGTCGTTTTCTATTCCAGCACTTGTGGCAATGGTCTTCACAGCAGTCTCACTGGTGAACGGCCTGTCGTCTCTCTACGCTTACGAGTTGAGCAAATACATCCGTTTACCGCCCAACGTCTCCAAGGTCCCCCATATCCTGTTCGGGGTGATTGCCTTCGTCGCATCCGCCATCTCTCTCTGCTATGGATACGATAAGGGATCATTTAGAAATTGGTTCACACCAAAACTGGCGGTTACAGCGATCGTTTTCACTTCCATTTTCACGTTCCTCACTATAATCAATCCAATGATAGTGTTCTTCAGAAAGCTCAAAGATTCGTTTTCTAAGTAATATAGTTAGTTATAGGTAAATAATAATAATATCTGAGGACTATTCACACAGCGCCATCTAGTCCAAAGAAAAGTAGAGCTTGTTTTATGGGTACTAGACAACTGATATAAATATATACATACATTTCTTTTTGTAAATATATGTTAAAAAAACATCCAGAGCGATACAAACAATCATACACATTTTATTGTTCGAATACAAATGTCTGTACCGTCGAGAATCGAACCCGCGACCTTCGGACGTAAAGCGGTGTGCTAAACCGCTAAACCACCGAGGTCGTCAAAGACATGTCACAAAAATTGACCATTGTTAAATCAGTTAGTTTTAGCGAATAAAAAAAATGGCTATAGCTTGCTTCCAGCTTGACAGGTTATGACAGTAAATTTACAGGACACGTGATATCTTAGTCCTGGAATGGCAACGAATAGAGGAGTTATAATGTATTTTGTGACGATCACGATTCTATTTGTATATATATATGCATATGGAATACTGTTCTCATCTCTGGGCGGAAGCACCACAATACCAGTTACTTCCATTTGACCGCATTCAGAACCGAGCAGCCAGAAACATTGGTAATCAACGTCTATGTGACAGACTCGACCCATTGGCTCTGCGGCGAGATATTGCATCTCTGTGCATTTTCATATATCACGGGGAGTGTTCTGACAAATTGTTAAGTTTCACCAACGTATCACCCAGAAACTAAAATACCATCCTGATCATCTGGATGTATGGCGGTCCTCCACAGTGTGGTTTTCTAGAAACTTTTTGCTGTGCAACCACATTGTGGAATCACCTTCCAGCAATAGTATTTCCGAACCGATACTATATCGCTATATATCGCTTATAGAGTTGCCATTCCAAATATATAGGAAAAAAAGTTGTATATTTGTAAATTGTAGTGTAAATGTAAATTGTAGTATAGTAGTAGATATAGAAATCAAAATCTCTACCGCCAGCATTGGGGAAAGGGACAGCGTGATAGTACGTTTCATTTTACCAATATTAGGCAGTCTATAATATTGTATTTTATAAGTTAAGAATAATTTCACAATTGCATCCACTAAAATTACTTCAAATTTAATCAATTACGGGATGAATACAAGAATTTTAACTTGTATCTCTTAAAATAATGTATAAATATTTATGTTATAAACTAGTTACTTGCCCCGGCTTCGCCCGGGCTTCATATATCATACATATAAACCTTCTTTTATCTATTAAAAAAACCGCTTCAAAATCCGTTGCGTAGTTTCAAAGATTTAAAAGAGCTTACATAGGGACAGACAGACAGCGACAGCGATTTTGTTTTATACTATGTAATGATGACAAAAGCATTTCATCAAACTATAACAATCCTGAACACGTTAAGTTATATTTTTAATAAAGATAGCGTGAAATTAAAAAAATAATGTTATTTTTGCATTTCTTCTAAACGTTTGGAATCTATACTTAAAATACAGTTAAATACTCATGTAGATTATATAATTATTGTTCAAACAGTAGTAGCAAATCTACTGTGATCATCAACCAACACTGGTCGACGTCAAACCTAGCGTCGATGACGGCATCAGTCAATCGACCAGTGAGACGCACCGCTCATCACGCGACACATATGAGCACCAATAAAAACGGTGGATTCTCCACCCCTATGTAATTTTAAAATCTAAAGTTGTTGCAATAAATGCTTCATGAGAAGTGATCATAAGTTTCATTTTAAAACACTCTTTTTTATGAAATAACAAATTAACAATTATTGTTTCTTTATCAAATTTTCACAACACCAGAACTATTGGAAACATAATCATAATATCGTCGGTTAAATAGAAAAAGGGCAGTATTCAAAATGTACATGTTTGTCTTGTCCTGTAGAGAAGCATTTAAAGTTTTTAAATTCATTTAAATTATTTCTCCCTTTAAACTTTTAAAATTACACAGAAGTATTATATTATCGTTGATAAATCAAATCTGGTATCTGCTGTTTGTTGAGATTTCAAGATTTTATACACTGTTTCAAATTTGACGTGGTCATTATTTATACGTATAATTAGTCAAAATCACGGGATCTTACCACGTTTTATATTTATTTGACCACAGATTTTGATTGACATTCAAGATTTTGACCACAGCTTATAGATCACTATATTATATAGCACATTTTATTCTGAGGTCATAGTTCCACAACTACTGGTCATAAGCACATGGCAGTTCTTTTATATGAGAAATAAGGCTCATGACATGTTATGTCATTTTAAAAGTATTTAGATAATGATTAAGACGGCGCGGTTAATTTCATTGACTCATATAAAAGAGGCAATTCTAGCTTCTAATTTTGTTTTTTTTTCTATTTAATCGACGATATCTATTTAAAATAAAACTTACCTTTATTTTGAGACGAAATATAAAGTATATGATCCATATACCTATTATGTTGATAGTAGAATATTTAAAAAAATGTAATATATAGAATTAAAAAAATCAGACGACGGATATGTCTGCCCATAATTTTATTTATTTACCATCTACCATCAGATGGACCGTATGGTAGTTGACCACCTAAGTGGTATAAAAAAAAAATCTACAAGCTGCTTTTCAATTTACATCATTATCATGGCAGTTGAAACACTGCCAAAATATTGGAAATCATAGTGACAAATAAAACATGGTATAGTCCTTGATTTTCTTAATTTTACGTCTAAATAATTAACGTATCAAAATTAAAAAAGCTAATGTGAGAGTGTATCTTCACTCCAATAAAGTATCTATATAAATATCGATCGATCGGAATTTGTTTCCAGAGTAGACTGGCAAGTGTTGTGTTTAATGTAAACTATATGTAGTTACCAGCAGTTTAATTCAATTGTTAACTTTTGTAGTTGCTGTTTAGTTCAAGTTAATTATGTATATAGTATTTATTTATTGTAAGGAAATAAAACAATTTTAAAATTTAAAACTTGTTGTTAATACTAAAGTTCATTTGGTAAGGCATCTGCCTATACCCATCTGCCCATATTCCTGCAGAGTGATTACATCCTCAAAAAATAATGTTCTTCAATCCTCAAAAAACATATATGTATATATATATATGTTACAACAACATACAAGATAGTAGAGTCACGCTCCTCAGCAGTGAGGGAATGATTGAGAAAAAAAAAACCAATTTATTTATTGACATCCGTACTAGTATTTCAATAAATAGATGAATATCGACTTACTATCTGTTTGTGCAAATGCATATATAATAATTAATTTATACAACAATTAACACAGTCCCACGATAAGCTGAGTTTGTATTATGGGTACTAGATAACTGATATAAATACTTAGATACTTTGGTATTATAAATACATAAATAATATATGTAGAAAACACCCAGACCGATACGAAAAATCATATGAATACAAATGTTTGCACCGTGCGAATCGAACCCGCGACCATCTGAAGTAACGCTGTGCTATACCGCTAGACCACAGAGCAGGGGCAGATCTACCTATGGGCCTCTAGTCCCACTGAAATGATATCTAGAATATAAAAAGCTATTATAAGGTTAGCAATTCTGCGATCAACCAACAAGTGCGTCTATGTCTATTTTGAAGTTGAGATATAATTTACCTAAATCGGGGAATTTCAAGCGACCTGAAATTCGTTCCTTTCAATAGAGGCGTCTTGTTGGTGATCGCAGAATTGTATTTATAATAGCTTTTTATATTCTAGATATCATTTCAGTGGGACTAGAGGCCCATAAGTAGATTTAGCCCAGGGCCCCACAAATTCACGACCGCCCCTGCCACAGAGGCCGTCATATATTAATTTTATATAAAAAAAAATACATAATGTATATTAATTCACCCCAATCAATATTCGACGACGCAAATCTTATTTCATATCTATAATCTTAGATTTCAGATGAAACAGAATCAGTAGTGTAGACGCCTACGTATCAACCGGTCGTACATTAGATAATCGTTGTAGAAAAAGGCACGTAAAATATTGAATAGAATAGAATAGAAATAGAAATTCATTTATTCAAATAAACTTACAATGAAACACTTTTGAATAGACATCACATTTTTTAATCTACCACTCATTCGGAAATTTATCTCATCACAAAAAGAACGAGAAAGGCACTTGTGTGTTGCACGTTTAAATAATTTTATTGTTACTTTACATTTTTAAGTTGAAGTGTGTGATACAAATTACCAATTAGCACTAATTTTATTAACAATAATGACTTTTAACAATAAAATGGCTGTTTCTGTTGATGACAACAAATTGAGAATATTCAAGCTATCGTATAACCTTATCACTCATGTCTTAATTGGTATCATCATCACCATTACATCACTGTTTGTGTTCACTAATGGGATTCCACTACAGGGGATGAATCTGCACATTCTACTTTGCACTGTTGGGGCAAGTATTTTTTATCTTGTAATACTTTTTTAATATATTATCAATACTGCATCTGGGACGGATGCACCCAAAGATTTTTGGGGCTGCAGCCCAGGGCTCCGAGGATATAAAGGCCCCCAGTCCTTACTGTAACGATATGTCGAATATAAAAAAAAATTCTAGAATGTTAAAAAACTAAATACGGTTGGCAACCCTGAGGTCAACCAACCCATGCAAGTGCACGTCTATCGAAAGGATCGGGGAATTTCTGGTCGCTTGGTTTTGGTCGGTGTATTTTTTTAGTTGAGTTATATAATTAGGCCTACCCCTAAGTAGATTTAACCCAGGGCCCCACAAATTATTATTTTATTTATACCCTTTGATAATAGAACCTTAATAATAATAAATTATGGTCGAATTTCGATCACTAGTTCAGTTAATGTTTTCGATCGAAATTCAAATAAAAACGTACAAAAAAAATAACAATAAACTTTCAAAAAACGCGAAACACACAATAAATTTAAAAATATAACTTATCTTTCCTTTCAGTATCAACTTCTGATGGCCGAAGGTTTCCTCTGTCTAGTTCCAGAGAACTCTTGGACCCTGACAATCAGTCTGGTGAACAAAAGGCGCATACATTGGATCCTACAGGTTATGGGTTCGAGTCTGGCGATAGCAGGCAGTTATATAATTATGGAGCTTAAAGAAGCTCATTGGGAGACTTTACATGGAAGTTATGGTTGGTTTTTTAATAGCAAACTGTTTACCGTAACTTAATGTATTAATGCGTTAAGTAGTCTAGTTTCTGTTATAAGTTTTGGATGTCCTGGGTTCGATTCCTCGCATGCTACAAGCATTTGTAATTATTAGTCTAATTGTTATTTATTTTTATATTAATAATAATATAATCTCAGGACAATTCACACAGCGCCATCTAGACCAAGCTAAGCTAGCTAAAGCTTGTGTTACGGGTACTAGACAACTGATACAAACACATAGATATATTTTTTTCGTAAATACATGCATATTATACATAGAAAACATTTAGACCGATACAAACAATCATACTCATGAATACAAATGTTTGTGCCGTGCGAGGATCGAACCCGCGACGTTCCTACGACGTTAGAACTAAGGCTGTGCTAAACCGCTAGACCACTGAGGTCATTAATATTTACAATAAAAAGTATGTAAGTATTTATATCAGTTGTCTAGTATCCATAAAACAAGCTCTGCTTAGCTTGGGACTATATGGTGTGAATTGTCTATAGTTATTATTATTAACTATGAGGTTTTTAACCTTGAGTAATGTTTTATTCTCTCATACAAACTTTCATTATTAATTTCATACCATTTTTTTTAGGATTAAAGATAGTCTATACCCCTTTTTGTAATTAATTCAATCACATAAAACTTTAAGATCCATTCAACCTTAGTGTAAAGCTAACAGACAGACAGACAGAGAGACATATTTTCATTACTTAATAAATTTATATTATTGTGTCGCAATATGGTTGTAGATCAGATAAGGGTCGGAGTTTGATCACTACTGGGGAAGGTTATAACGCTTCCGGTAGCGGTGGTAGTTTCCACACTGAATATTTGTGGTCTCACACATGATAATGGTAGCGGAAAAAATCCATTAAGTACTTAAATAGATTTACGACGACTTAAATCGAGGTTCGAACCCCTAGGGGTGCTCTACTAAAGTCGTATCTTCCAGGCGGAAGTTAGCCTTCAGCCGCTCCATAAGTCCTTCCGCGGGTTTGGAGTGCCATCTGCACTCGCCCCGTATCGTCCAGTGAAGTTGTAAAGGTCTGCGGTCAAGAGCGTTAGAGTAGTCCGAAAAAAGAGAAATAGACTTCCGCAAAATAACACTTAATTCTTTAAAATATATACATTCTTTCACATTAATTCTAATATGAATAACTTGATTGACATACAAAATATTTTGATATTTTCTCATTTAATCTATTGCTAATCTATGCTAATAAATTTAACAGCCCAATACTTTGTTTTTGGACCCAAATTGTTACGGGGGCCCTTAAATGATAATATGTAATTTTAGATATACTAACATAGGCTAAGTACAATTGTTACTAACAAATTGGATCTCTGTTATCTGAATAAATAAATTTAAAATAAATAAAAATAAAAATCATTCTCCATTTCTTTTTAAAATTATTATAAGAACGAACTAGAAGGTTGAAATACAAATAAAAAAGATGAACAACTTAATATAAAACCCTACACTAAAGTATCTGGACAACATTGTAGAATAAGATCAGGGGCGGATCGTGAATTTGTGGGGCCCTGGACTAAATCTACTTAGGGCCCTGCCTAATTATATAACTAAAAAAATACACCGACCAGAAGCAAGCGACCAGAAATTCCCCGTTCCTTTCCATAGACGCGCACTTTCATGGGTTGATTGATCTCAGGGTTGCCAACCTTATCAGGTTTTTTACCATTCTAGATATTTTTTACATTCTAAATATCGTTTCAGTGGGGACTTGAGGCCCTTTGTATCCTCGGGGCTCTGGGCTGCAGTCCAAAAAGCACTTACGTAGATCCGTAAGATAAGAATGAGTAAGATGCTATGATAGTAATGATTATTCCTTATTATTAAAATAGTCATAATATCATCATCATCTGCTTCTTCCTTATCCCATTTATTTGGAGTCGGCGTAATATGTTATTCTCTTTCATTCATCTCTGTTCGCAGTCATCCCGTTATTTACTCCCTTTCTAACCATATCATCTTTTACACAGTCCATCCATCTCTTTTTCGGTCTTCCTCTACCCTTATAACCATCTAAAATAGTCATAATATATTTTGCATAAATTAATTATTGCTATAAAATCCAATCAGGCGTTTCTAAATTATAATTAACACAATCTAAATCGATAATTCTGTTAGCTTTGTTAATATCAGTCATTTTTCTTTTACAGATAATTTTGTTATCACCTTACAATTCAATTATGTTATTATAAATGGAATATAGAAGAGAAGATAGACTACCTTCTCTTCTTATATCTTTAGAAATAAGATTAAACTTATTATTAACTTCACTTTAAACATAATGTGATATATATACAGTTATTGTACGTCACAAATCTCCAATAATGTTACAGATTTTTGTATTTTCTTCGACATTATTAAATTATAAACATTTGTTTTCTATTTCAGGATTGGTAGCACTGATCTGTACGATAATCTCATTGGTAAACGGTCTAACATCTCTCTACGCATACGAGCTGAGTAAATATATCAGAATACCGCCGAATTTATCTAAAGTACCACACATTTTGATTGGAGTCATTGCATTTGTCACATCCTCTATATCGCTGTGCTACGGCTACGATATGTACTTCTTCAGAAACTGGTTGACTCCTCGTTTAGGGACTATATCCATTGTCTTCACTGCTACGTTCACTTCTATCATTATAATCAATCCTATGACCTTAGCTATTAATAAAATTATTAATATATTTAAAAAATAATACTCTGTTATCGAAATCTAGATTCCTGCATGTATTACGTCATCTACAAATGAGAATAGCATTCTCTATCTAAATATATATAACACAAAGGTTAACTCAAAGACTGACATAGTGATCTATCAACGCACAGTCCAAACCACTGGACGGATCGGGCTGAAATTTGGCATGCAGGTAGATGTTATGACGTAGGTATCCGCTAAGAAAGGATTTTGATTAATTCTATACCCAAGGGGATAATATCTGAGGGGATGAAAGTTTTTATGAAACTTTGTCAATTTTAAACCGATCGGGCTGAGGCTTTGCATGCATAAAGCTACTATAACGTAGGCATTCCCTAAGAAAGGATTTTGATAAATTCCACCCCTAAGGGGATAAATTAACGCGAGCGAAGCCGCGGGCAAAAGCTAGTGTTATAGTGCTTATATTAAGTTTATTTGAAGAAAGATTATTTGTATATATTTTAATTTCTATAAATACAATTCAGTGGTAATTTATACTCTTTGTTTTACTTGTCAGATTGAAATCGTAATTTTTTATCGTCTTTCGATCACTGAAATATGATCTAAAAGATAATCTGTAATAATTGGATGTTAATGTATTTCATACGTAGATAATCGTTTATTAGATAGTAATAACTTTAATAAAGTTAATATATTTAAGGCGAAAGACATTTATTTTATTTTTTATTTATTATGTATTCATACTATGTTAGCAAACAACTTACAAAGTACGTTAGTGAATTACAATTTTATTCATTCAATTCATATATTTATGTCTATCCACGTGCAGAAGCACTGGGTCCGCAGCAGTGCAGCGATGTCCAGTGTCTCTGGAGCGGACAGTCCGATATATTTGATATGATGTTTAGGAGGCTGTTTGCGCTCCCACGAATTCTACACATGTGATGCAGTTCTATTACGCATTATGGCTTCAAAACCATCTATACGCGCTGCTGCAAACATCTCTGATGCGCTACAGAACCGTATTATTACGTATCAAATGTAATCTGCCTATTATATAGGGTGATATCAAATTTTATTAAGAGGAAAGTAAAGGACGGTGACTGTACCAGTTTGAGAATCTTTCCACGATTTGAAAAGCACATTATTTTTGAGTAATAGACTACATATCTCTACAGTAATATACATAACTCATTAAAATATGAGCATGTATAATCTTTTAGTGAGTAAGTGGCTTTGTTTATTAAATATGATTTAACAGAAGTCTAAGTTTAAGAAAGTAAGAAAGATATATTTATTTATCGCATATAAAACAATCATACTACATATTACAAAAATTATAACTAATTAGTTATAATTTTTCTAATAAAATTTTAAAAATACATAATAGATAAATAGATTTGGTATAAGATCGATCAGACTAATATTTGGTCAAGAGCATTTATTTTCTCTATATACACAAATGGTTGAACTCTTTGAAAAGATCCCAGTGGATTTAAGTGCAATAGGCTAAATGTTAATGGATGATTTAAATCAGACACTGTACTACTGTACAATATACTTAGTTGACACACGTTTTGTTTTGCATTGTATAATAGAGAAAGTAAATAAAATGGATTTAATAATGTTAGTCCACCTTTTAAATGAATGAATTATAATGAAATGAAAAAAAATTAACTAAAACTAATTTGTTATAATTTTTGTAATAAAATTTTAAAAATACAGCTCCAACCAAATCGGTTTCCACTCAGCCTTGTGTCTGGGCTGTAATGGCCAAACGTTGATTTTCAGTAGAACCTTGTAGAAATTAATTTAAAATATATAAATTGTAATATATTATTATATGTAATGCTGCCTGCGTGAGCATGCGCTGTTGATGCTTTTGAGGTGTAAGTGTATGTTAATTAAGAGACTGATCTATATATTATATATATATAGACGTTTATTATAAACTAGAGATTGGGGCGTTTTCTATTTAACTGCCATGAAATTTTATATAATCCTTAGATAATAATAATATAATAATAATATTTCAGGACAATTCACACAGCGCCATCTAGTCCCAAGCTAAGCAGAGCTTGTGTTATAGGTACTAGACAACTGATATAAATACATAGATACTTTTTTTTTGTAAATAAATACATAATATACATAGAAAAACCCAGACCGATACAAACAATCATACTCATGAATACAAATGTTTGTACCGTGCGAGGAATCGAACCCACGACCATCGGATAGTAAAGCGGTGTGCTAAACCACTAGACCACCGAGGCTGTCAATAATAATCAATAATAATACTATATAAACCATTTACTACCTATTACATTACTTAACACCCTACAGATACAGGAAAGTAAATTTCTAAGTTTACTAGAATTAATTACATATAATCACATTATTTAAGACCTTTAAGATTTTATAAATTTACTAATCATACAAAGTAATCAATCATAAACTGTTTAAAAAACATAATAAACGATTTTTAAATTGAAATTCGTGGTTTAATTTTAACATATACATATATATATCCTATCTTCATTACATAGTATAAAACAAAGTCGCTATCGCTGTCTGTCCGTCCCTATGTATTAAATATTTAAAACTACGCAACGGATTTTGAAGCAGTTCCTTTAATACATAGAGTGATTCTCAAGGAAGGTTTATGTATATATGTACACCCGTGCGAATCCGGGGCGAGTAGCTAGTCTTTCATATAACTATGAATATAAGACAATTCAATAAGATTGGTCTAGATAAGAATGATAACATATTGTATCTGATACAGTGATATCTCCGTAAGATTTTATAACAAAAAAACCCATGGCATAGATTAGTAAAATGATGTTAAATATTATGATGTAACTCAGTGTTGGAAATATAGTGTATTATGTACAAGATCAAACTAATAAGTGAATAGATGAGCCTATTTGTGTAATCATGCAGTACAAAAACGATACGATAGCGCCCACGCCGTATCCGCGAAGAAAAAAAACAAAGATTAATGGAACTCATCAACTTAATGAACGAGGTAAATATTAATATTTATATGTGTAATGTTTACAAACATAGCTTATCATAAACCTTTCTATATAATTATGGCTTGGAGTAATCAGATGATTATTCCGTTCGGAACCAAGATGGAGATTAGTAATGTTGTATTTGCAGGTGATCTTACGCATGAGGAAAATGAAATCAAACAAGGTACGTGCAGTGATATATTTTATCAATTTAATAAAGAAAACTAACAAATTCATAATATTAATGTAGGTCTGTTACAGAGTCTTATGATATGTGAAATCTACCGTCAGTTCGGAATGATAAGAGATGAGAAGAACTGACAAGAAACTCAGCTCGGATTCTTTTCAAATAAATGTTGTTTAAAATAATATAGATTCATTTTTAAATTCAAATTTGGGTAAATAGAGTGACCACCAGCATATGCTATTGTAAAAGCAAATAGTCTAATCAGTGTTCGTAACCTGAACAGACCAGTCCAAGCAGCACCCGTTCACGAGTATGATGGATGATATATATATCTTATACATAGTTAACATAGCACCAATATCAATAGCAAAGGGATTAAAATTGGTGATATTTGACGACCTCGGTGGTCTAGCGGTCTGGCACACCGCTTTACGTCCGATGGTCGCGGGTTCGATTCCTCGCACGGCACAAACATTTGTATTCATTAGTATGATTGTTTGTATCGGTATGTTTTCTATATAAATCTATGTACTTTTATCAGTAATCTAGTACCCGTAACACAAGCTTTAGATAGCTTAACAAGGACAATTCACACAGCGCCATCTAGTCCCACTAGATGGCGCTGTGTGAATTGTCCTGAGATTATTATATTAATATTATTATAATTATATATTATATATTTGTTAGGGAAACTACTCTGCTACCAAAATGTTAGGGAATTTACTATGTATATATATAGGGAAAAATAGGTGGAAGCGTCAGTCACGTACCTGTATGGTTCTGCGGATTTCTTGGGCTTCAGGGTCTCGAAGATATCTTCGCTAGCTTTCCAGTTTCACAGTAGGTTTAACACAGTTCTAATTTATTTTAATTCACAACAAATGCGCGCGCGCGTCAAGGCCGCTGTACGGTCAGTTCAGTACTAGGTAAGGGAGGGGAAGGGAAACCGCGGGAACACAAACTAACGGACTCTAATATAATAATCTGTGCTTACGATGGTACAGGGTAGATTTTGAACAATATTATAATCTTAATAATATTATAAACGCGAAAGTTTGTATATGTAAATCACGAGAAGACTACTCAATGTATTTTATACTTCAGAATAACATGTAGGTTATAAATTTCCCGCGGATGAAACCGCAGGCACAGATACTAAAATAATCAAGAACTTACTCCCTTATGAAATCAGTTTCAATTATAATTAATTTTCTTGATAACTAAGCAGTGCAAGAATAGCTACCCGATCGCACTAATCAATTTATGAAGTCCTGATAATTTTTGGTATTTGATATTTATTTATTCAGTAACAATTTATATTATGTTTGAATGATTCGAGATAAAATTTTTTTTTTGTTGTATATATTTAAATTCATCAACAAATTTAAAATGAGCATATGCTATATAAAAAAAATCAAAAAAAAACAATCACAACCTGAACAGACCTCCACAAAAGCTTCCAATTAGCCAGCCATCATTTTCTTAAATTATATATAAATTTATACATGAGAGAACTAGTCATTTATATTATTTACAACATAAACTGTACCAATCAATTCATTACAATATTTAATTTACATTATTTAAATTACAATATCTTATCTTTAAGTTTATTTATTTATTCAGTAACAAATTAAAATTGTGTTTGAAATTATACAATTTTTGCTGCTAAGAAATTCATCAACACAATAAAATGATTGCTCCAACAGAAAATAATGCAACCTGCCCTTAAAAAGCTTCCAATTATGTATTTTCTTAAATTATATATAAATTTATACATGAGAGAACTAGTTAGACTGTTAGTCTGACTCAATTCAACTATTATCTTATCTTTACGTTTACATTCAGAGTCAACGTTATAGTTTATGCTTGCTTCTTCATTATCCAATATTTATATTTCAGTATATTTAAAAGGTAGACTAACATTTTTAAATTACTTATTATTTGCTTTCTAAGTATATCGTATTACAGTGTCTGATTTAAATCATCCACTAATATTTAGCTTATTGCACTTAAATCCACTGGGATCTTTTCAAAGAGTTCAACCATTTGTGTATATGGAGAAAATAAATGCTCTTGACCAAATATTAGTCTGATCGATCATGTACCAAATCTATTTATCTGCCAAATAGATTTACGTAACTGAAAAAGAAATTCTTATCAATTCGTTTATCTTATACGTGAGTCAATTCCCTTTCATTAAACGACAATACTTTGTAATATATAAAAAGCGAATCTATATTGATAACATTAATAATTACGAGCACTGTTTGATGGTTATCAATTACCTCACATTTGATATATGATTTGGTGTAACTGATTCATTAACACTATTAGATATTCGTTCAATCCGAGTAGGTACCTCGGAAGTGTCTTTAGTAATATTAGAAATGTCTAGTGATAGTGATGATGGAAGTGTACGATCGAATAGATCAACAACTGTGTTGGTTCCAGTTATTCCAGGAGTGGGTCCAGTTGGAGAACTGCCTGATGGGTATACGTTGAAGATTGTAAGATCTGTAACAAATTTGACAGCGCACATTCTCATTGGAGCTACAGTTGGGATTTGTTTATTATTTGGATTTAGAAATGGACTACCTTTAGACTCCACATCAATTCATATAGTTCTGTGTGTTATTGGAGTAAGTATTTCATGGTTGTGGTCCCTATTATGCTAAATTTATATTAGTTCTTTATATAGTGTTATCTGTGTATTTTTATGGCTTTCGACCTTCTTATTTCCTTTGTTTCGATATGGCGTAACAGTGTGTAATGTGAAAATGTGTTATCGCACGACAAAAGTTATTATATACCCTTTCATGGAAAAACTACTACAGATTCATCCAATGTCGTTGCGATCATCAGTAACTGGGATTTTAGCTTCCTCAAATCCAAAGTTCAATACATTTGGTATATTTTACTTTGTTTGATTGGGGTCATCTATACCAGTATAACAAATAGGTACAGGTTGGCAGGTTTCACGAACTTAGTTCAGTAGATCCAGAGATTATCCATCTATAGAACTACGGACCCAATTTAGATCATTCCTTGACCAATAGAAAGCTACGTGATTTGTTAGTGTCATAGGCTATATAATGTCACGTTATGACCAATAGGAGCGGGACTGTAACGAATAATGTTACAGAAACCGGGCAAATGTGGCGCAGACAAAGTTGCGCGGGTGAGCTAGTATGATAATATAGTCTAAGATAATTTATTTGTTACAAATTTTTGCCCACAACATGTGACTAAAATTAACTTATCCAAAAAGTTCTTCTCAGGTTCAAATACAACATGTGTAATACACAGTTATATATAAAATATAGACTACATTAGTCCAATTTATACAAATAATAGAGTTATATGTAAAATATTATGATTAAGCTTTGGCATTTATAATACTACCAACACTACTATATTATATACATACACATACATATACTAATAGTATCAATATACAATTTTGAAACTTATTGTTAACTATCGTTAATTGCAGTACCAGCTACTGATGGCGGAAGCAATATTGTGTTTATCTCCCGATAACTCCTGGACAGCATCCTACCGAGTCATAGACAAGCGACGCGCGCATTGGATATTGCAAATCGTAGGCTCTGTCCTTGCTATAACTGGAAGCTTCCTTAAATTTGCAGACAAAACCACCCATTGGAATAGCTTGCATGGCAAATTTGGTTAGTACAACTATCATAGACAAATCTGTTACCTTATCAACCTAGACTTTGTCGTCAGAGTTATGAGTTGTGTTACGTAAGTACCTATTTCATTGGTGACTGAAATTACTTCCTTGCTCACTTTGTAAGATATATTGCGATTGAAGCATGAGAGAAAGCAATGAAATTGCAGAAGAGGCATGACACCTAAATCTTTAGGAATGGCAATGGAAGAGTAGCATTACGGCCGCCTCATGATAAGACGATGCCCGTGGTACTCTTAATTTATGTAGGTGAAAGTTAATCATCAGGTGAGACGCAAACTCGTTTGTCGCCAATACTATTAAAAAATGTAAAATAGAATAAAATAGAAAATCTTTTATTCAAATAAACTTAATTTAAGCACATCTGAATAGTCACAGTTATCCTTTTCGTCTACCGGTCATTTGGAAAGCTTCTCAAGAAGAACTAGCAAGTATAGAATAGAATAGAAAATCATTTATTCAAATAAACTTACATTGAAGCACTTTTGAATAGTCATCACATTTTTTTTTCTTCTTGTGATGAGACAGCTTTCCGAATGAGCGGAAAGCTGTCTCATCACAAGAAGAACGAGCAAGAAACTTGTGTGTTGCTCTTTTAAATGTAACAGTTTTTTAGCATCCGTAACACAACCTATTCTTAGCTTGCTGCTAGATGGCGCTGTGTGAATTGTTGCAAATTATTATTATTATTCAGTAATTAAATTTCTTCTGCAACATTAGGTCATCATCATTGCCTTGCCTTTATCCCATTATTTGTGGTCGGCGCAGTATGTCATTCTCTTCCACTGCTCTCTATCGGTTGTCATATCTGAACATACTCTTCTTTTATTCATATCATCTTTCACACAATCCATCCATCTTTTCTTAGGGCGTCCCCATCCACATTCATATAAACTTTCCATAAGACATGATCCTCGTTCCTCCGCATAACATGCCCATACCAGCTCAATCTGCAACATTAAGTATAGGTACCTAATTGCAAAAGTTGTTAATTTTGAAATCTTCTCCTTCCAGGTCTCGTTGCTTTAGTGTTCACATGCGTGTCTCTAGTGAATGGGCTATCATCTCTCTACGCTTACGAGCTCCGTAACTTAATACCTGGTAATATCTCGAAATTGACTCATATTTGCTTCGGAACCGTTGCCTTCGTGGCCGCCAGCGTCAGCCTTTGTTTCGGGTTCAACAAGCAATTCTTTATCAACTGGGCCACTTTGCCATTAGCATACACCATAATGGCATTTACGGGTATTTTTACGTTAATTGCTATTGTGAGTCCATTTGTTACTTTTGTTAGAAAAGTTAGAAGGTAATGGTGAAATTGTATGGGATGTAGCACCGTGGTAGTTTTGCATCGTAATGTTAGAGTTATAAATTACTCACTACCCGCCCTGGCTTCGCTCGGGTGTACATGTATTATATATATAAACCTTCCTCTTGAATCACTTTATCTATTGAAAAAACCACTTCAAAATCCGTTGCGTAGTTTTAAAGATTTAAGCATACATAAGCACGGACAGGGAGTGACTTCGACTTTGTTTTATACTATGTAATGATGTATAAAAAATACCGTATACAGACATACGGTATTCTTTACTTCTTTTTCTCAGATCTACCAAAGTAATCATAAAAATCGGTCAATATGTTTCTGAGGAGTTCGATAACAATTTCATCACATAGAATCGTTCAACATTTCACTCTTAGACAGATTAGGGTAGAAACCGCTTCAAAATCCGTTGCGTAGTTTTAAAGATTTAAGCGTACATAGGGACGGACAGACAGCGACAGCGACTTTATTTTATACTATGTAATGATATAAACCTTCCTCTTAAATCACTCAATTGCTAAAAACTTCATTAAAATGAGATATAAACTAGTAGGTATCATACGGTAAATTAAAATAAATGAATAAACCAATAAAATAAAACATGAAATACGATTTAAAGAAACATTAAAGAATTTCTTCACTTCCATTGAGTTTACTGTAAAATGATATATATATGTATATATACACCTGTTATCAGGAGAATAAGAATACGATCTGAGAATGTACTAATAAACTTTATAATAAAATAATTTATTATTGTTTGAAGCGTTGATATATTTAATTAAAAACATAGCTTTAAGTATAATTAAATATAATAATAGCAAATATAATTAAAATTACTTTCCAAAATCTTATATATTGTTTTATTTTTAAATTAACCTACAGTATTCATATTATTCTGCATGGGACTTCGACTGCTTATATATCTGATGTAAATCCACATGAACAATGTCGCGGGGAATAGTTAGTCTATACATAATAATAAAATTGGAGTGTCTGTTTGTAATATTGAAATAACCATTTTTTACTACATGTATATGAATATAAATACGGCACATACACCAAAACAACATTTATTACACTTTTTATAGGTCTGTCTGTCTGTCTATTTCTTGCGGCTAATCTCTGAAATGGCTGGACCAATTTTGACGGAATTTTTTTTGGCAGGTAGCTTATAGGGAGTAATTTAGGCTACTTTTATTTTAGAAAAAATAAAGTTACATTCCAAGCGGACGTAATCGCGGGAAAGGCAGTATTATTAAATCTATAAAAGAAACTTCTGTTTCGTCACAAATGCTACATATATGGAGTGGTGACCGCGAATTAGCAAACGTAACGTAGGACGCCCTGCAGGTAGATGGAGCGATAAGTACGATTGCGTCTATAGTATGGACGAGAAGTGCTTACGATCGTGTCTAGTGGCATGCCTTGAGAAACATCATGTCCAGCAGTGGACTAATGACGATGCTACATATAAATGATATTCAAACCTTCAAGAAATGAACTTATTCCTTCTTAAAAGGCCGCCAACACACTTGCAATTCTCCTGTAGTTGCGGGTGCTCACGGGCAGCGGTAATCACTTACCATCAGGGGAGCCGCATGCTCATTTGTAGCCTATACTATAAAAAAAGTATGCCAGTAAACGTAATTGGTTTTGCCATTAAATGAAAACGTAACAAATATACTATTTTTTTCTAATATTATTAGATTTTACTTGCAATTCCGCTGGTGTTGCGGGTGCTCATTGAAAAATTGAAGTTCATATTATTTAGAAGGGTGAAAATTTAGGGTTGTATGTATTTTTCAATACTAAATAATAATAAAATTTAAATAAAATATTATGTCGAAAAAAAAAAAAAATTTAGGGGTGGATATCGATTACCACTTAGGGGTGTGAAAAATAGATATATAGCCGATTCTCATATGGATATAAAATTTCATAAAAATCTATCAAGTTTGAGAGGAGTATGGTAACTAACATTGTGACACGACAATTTTATATATAACATTAATATATTAATTTAATTTTATAATTTAATTTATTCAAAATAATATTATTTCTTAAAGGTATATTAACCTTCAGGTTATCTACCTACACTATACTCGATGTATTAAACCAGTGATTTTCAATCTTTATGATTGAAAGTTGCGAGGTAACAGATTGAGCTGGTATGGGCATGTTATGCGGAGGAATGAGGACCATGTCTTATGGAAAGTGTATAATATGAATGTGGATGGATGTAAAGGGAGGGGACACCCTAAGAAAAGATGGATGGATTGTGTGAAAGATGATATGAATAAAAGAAGAGTATGTTTAGATATGACGACCGATAGAGAGCAGTGGAAGAGAATGACATACTGCGCCGACCCCAAATAATGGGATAAAGGCAAGGCAATGATGATGATTTCGCGACCCCTTTACTGATTAAAATAAATTTAATTAAAAGCCTACATAGGTTGGTTAGGTAAAACTGGCAAGAGAAGCTCTTAAATTTATGCCATTCACCACTTCATACGTGTGTGAACAGATATTTTCTTCAGTAGGAGATATCTAAATATATATAACTCTAAGGTGACTGACTGACATAGTGATCTATCAACGTACAGCCCGAACCACTGGAAGGATCGGGCTGAAATTTGGCATGCAGGTAGATGTTATAACGTAGGTATCCGCTAAGAAAGGATTTTGATTAATTCTACCCCCGAGGGGATAAAATAGGGGATGATAGTTTGTATAAAACTTTGTCAATTTTAAACCGATCGGGCTGAGACTTTATATGCATAAAACTACTATGACGCAGGCATCCCCTAAGAAAGGATTTCACCCCCAAAGGGGATAAAATAGGGGATAAAAGTTTGCATAAATCTTCTAAAATTTTGTAGGCCCTAATTGTTTACACACGCTAAACAAAAGTAAAGCTGCAAAAACTACACCTAATTAATAATAAAACTACACCAAAATGTTAAAACTAAAAAGAGAAATAGATTGCAATTAGTAAATATTTTGATTATTAACGTTTCAAAAATATTACCAAAATTCTATAAACTTTTGAAAAATAAAAAAACACATCCTTCCCACTAAAATTGTGTTTTAATTGTATATGACTTTTTCTTTCAGCCGACGACCCCCCGAGTAAGGTTTCGCGACCCCCTAGTCGTGTCCATAAATTGAAAAACACTATTTTAAACTGTATCTCTATTTCGCAGTTATTTTAATAAACACAACGTTATTCAAATATATGAAAAAGTAAATTAAAATACACAGAGTGTAGAGATGTTAAATAAACGTAGTAATAAATTAAATCCAATGCACCGAGATTCCATTATTTTGATATATGCTGCAGAATTCTGAGAATTACTGCTATAATTTACTTAATAATATAATGGTAAAATATAATATTAAAATATGTTAATATTACCTAGTTATAAATTATATCACTCCCAATTCTTCTTCTTTCGTTTCAACGGCAACTAAATACATGTATCTAAATAAATATAACTCAAAGGTGACTGACGTAATGATCTAACAACGCACAGTCCAAACACTGGACGGATCGGGCTGAAATTTGGCATGCAGGCAGATGTTATGACGTAGGCATCCGCTAAGAAAGGATTTTGATTAAATTTACCCCTAAAGGGATAAAATAGGGGATGAAAGTTTGTATGAAACTTTGTCAATTTTAAACCGATCGGGCTGAGACTTTGCATGCATAAAGGTACCGCATAAGGAACCACGTGGAGCTCGTCCTGATATGGACATTGCTAACCTTTGTTATTTTTTTGGTTGTTAGTCCATGTTACTAACAATCCGAATTCTATATCTGTGTATGGCTTTGACCTTATTGACTCGTATCCGTCAGGCGGGAGTTAGCCTTCAGCCGGTCTATAAGTACTTCCTTTGGTTTGGAGTGCCATCTGCACACGCCCCCTATCGTCCGGTGAAGCTGTAAAGGCCAGCTGCGGACAGCATTAGAGTAGTTCGAAAAAAACCTTGGATGCATAGTCGACTGAGTGACAATTGTAAAGAACGCGTTTGAATATCTAATATAATAAAATTTAACACGACTTCATCCGGTCGTTGTAATCCTTGACCAAAAAAAAAATCAGTAATCTAACCCAAATAACCAAAGAAGAGACTTTCACCATTCTATCTTCAAATATGACGATTTTCTAGACAAACTTTCATCCCCTATTTTATTCTACGTCTTACAACCCTTTATTGCATTAAAAAGCTATAGTGTAGGTCCCTTGGATCACTCCTGTGGGTCCTCACAAATAATTATTAACGGATTATTTACGTACGAATAAAATAGAAAGCGCAAGATAGTATATTAAATATATAGTACAATATTAAATGTGTACCAAATTTCATTTTAATCGGTTCAGTAGTTTCCGCGTGAAAGCGAGTCAGACTGACAAACAGACAGAGTTACGTTCACGTTTTTAATATCATTAAGGAGTAAGGATTATTATCTATTACTTATTTAAAACCCGAAATCTCTTAAAGAGGGTCCTGCTGAGCCGCAAATCCACACCTCCCAAATCATGTATTAAAACAGTTTCTTCTTGTAACAAGATATACAATTATATGTACATATCAATAATTATGTCAACAAAGTTAGGTATATGATAATATGATAATATTATTTATATTATCATTGTTTAAAACGTGAGAGATAATCAGCTACGACACTCGGGGCACGTACAGATTATCATTTAAGTATGCTAATTCTGATGATAAAGTGTATAATTACGATTTAGGGTTCCATGGGTATTAAAAAATGGAGTAAAAACTGCAAAATGTCGTTTTTGACAACCAGTAGTGTCATATAAACATATTAATAATAAAAATAATAATAAAACCAGCAAAAGTTGAGAAAATGCGACAATAGCGTAAATTTAATAATAAGGCTGTTGTCTTAGATACATGTGCTATACTCCGTCGCTTCCTAAATGCCACAGAATAAACCATCAAGCAAAATAA